GACTAGAGAAAATATAGACACAGTGACAGTAAGACTAGAGAAAATATAGACACAGTGACAGTAAGACTAGAGAAAATATAGTGGTGTTCTGCTTCAAGTTTCGATTAGGATAGGTAGGAAGAGATAATTAATTTAGAAAAACATTAAATGAAGATGAAGTTAAGTATTTCAGACTTGAATGGCGTACATTGTACACCCAGTGAAATATTTACCAGTCAAAGGTAAAAATCATATTCACCTGCTGTTCTTTTCGCTCCTCACCCAGGAAAAGTTCAATAATTAAGCTTTGTGCATATTTTCTAATCTTTGTCAGGGTTTCGTTCATTTTTTGTTGGTTTTATTTCCAGACAGAAGAAAAGCTTCAGATTTTAACTAAATACCTGCGGACTAATTATATCTACTGTGTATGGTGTGGCACTAGATACGACGGTAAGTTGGGCAAAAAAATATAACATTTCTACCAACACATGTTCATTATAAAAAACATTTTTGATTTGCTGTACAGTAATATAAATTTGTAACCATGCATACAGCTTACTGTAACATTTTCTTTATGTCTCCTCTACAGGTCATTACTCCATTACCTTCACTTTGTATTGTTTAGTAACTTCATACAAGTTACAAGAGTTCAGAAATACACACAAAAAAAAAGAATTTGGATTTCTAAGTTGTCTATGTAAAGTCAAGGTCATTGTTACTATAAAATAGAAACTCAGTGTCATATCTACTGGCTTTAATTTTCGTCAGAATTGTATAAACTTTTCACAAGTATTTAGAACACAAGGGGTTACCATTGTAAAGTCATGAAGTCAAGGTCACTGACACTATAGATGGAAAATCTGTCATTATTCTACTGGTTTTGATTTTCTTTTGATTTGTATAAAACCTCATACCATTGTCCAAATTCCTCAAATAAGTTTGTATTCCAGGGTACTGAACCCAAATTTAATAGGAAAAAAACTGTCAGAGGCATTCATATCTTAATACATTGTCTAGTTCTGTTTATTTATTGTACATAACGGATACCACCAGACCAAAGCTGTGCTTCACTTTCAGATGCGGAGGATTTGAACTCATCTTGTCCAGGGAGTACAGCAGAAGCTCATGATGAATGATACCACAATGGTTAAGGGGATAGCTTTGGACAAAGAGAAATTGGATACTCTTTTGTTTGGTTGTTGATACAAGTAGTAAGGAATTTCTTCCAGTGACCTCAGTTCAACGTTAAAGGTCACATACAGGATGACCTTATTGACCTCCATTCAAATGGTCACACCCATGACCTTCTGGCGACCTCCATTCAACATTGGTTACACCCATGACCTTTTGGTGACCTCCAGTCGACATTGATGGTTACACATAGAGGTTTTAGTGACCACTGTTCAACTGTGAAGACACACGTTGGGCAATATTCAAAGGACCTTCAATCAACACATTGAAGCACATAAACTTATGAATGGCCAAGAGACCTGCATTGTCTGATGTTTGTCTTGTAGATTTTAATTTCCTCCTCCGCTGATGAGCTGTATAAGCAGCTAGACAGCTTATGACTTGTTACAGCAGTGCTGCAGACAGTAAATATGTTCAGCTCATGTTACAGCCGTGTTGCAGACAGTCAATATGTTCAGTCCATGTGCAGTGCTGCAGACAGTAAATATGTTCAGCTCATGTTACAGCCGTGTTGCAGACAGTCAATATGTTCAGTCCATGTTACAGCAGTGCTGCAGACAGTCAATATGTTCAGTCCATGTTACAGCAGTGCTGCAGACAGTAAATATGTTCAGTCCATGTTACGTACAATAGCAGTACTTGTGAAATAAATATTTGATACGTCATAATTATAATAATAAACTTAGGATCTAAATAATGTAACAAGTTTAAACATATATAGACGTCTGGATGATTGCTGTCTGTAATTATAATGCAAATACTTTCATCATAAGTAATGACATTATTGAATAATATGTGCTATAAATGTGATAGATAAGATACGTGTTATATTATTTGTTTGATTTTGTTAGGTCACCTGAGCTTTAGCTCAAGTGACCTATTGCTATCCGTCGTCGTCCATCGTGCGTCGTCCGTTAACATTTTACATTTTCAACTTACATTGAAATATTGTCAAAGGGATTTCATTGATACTTCATGGGAATGTTACTGACAACTCCCTGACAAAGTTTTGTTATTTTTTGGGGCGTGCAAAAATCCAATAATGCTGCCACGGCCGCCATTTTGAAAAAGTATTTCAAACTTAAAAGTCAAGTTCTTCTGGGCCAATCTAACAGAAACTTGGTAGGAATGATCAACTCATGGTCCTGACAAAGTGTTGTTATTTTTGGGGTCGATCAGAAATCAAATGTGGCTGTCACAGCCGCCATTTAAAAACCTATTTCTAACTTAAAGTCAAGTTCTACTTGGCCAATTTCACTGAAACTTGGTAGGAATGATCAGCTCATGGTCCTGACAAAATGTTGTTATTTTTGGGGTCGATCAGAGATTCAATATGGCCACCATTTTGAAAAACTTTTTCAAACTTAGTCAAGTTCTACTGGCCATGGGCTCATTTAACTGAAACTTGGTAGGAATGATCAACTCATGGTCCTCAGGCAAACTTAACTTAAAGTTATACTTAACTTTTTTTTACTCAAATTTTGGTAGGGGTGATTGACATCATTCTCTCCACTTCATATTTCAACAACAAAAAATAATACTGTAGGACTCGGGTAACCGTTAAGGCCCATGGGCCTCTTGTTTCTGTTCAGGATTTGTTTCACAATTAAGAATTATGTTTGTTTTGTTTACTGAAAATTTGAATTGTGTTATTAACATACGCAAAAATTCAGATACGTGTTATGACACATTAATGTGGACCAAATTGTATCATACAATTAAAATGTTTAAAATTTGACTTAACTTTCTCTGATTAAGTTAAAAGTAAAGCACAATTGATAAGTTTTGATTAACAGATGTTTAATTATAAAATTGTGATACTCTATTGTCTTTCGTAAAATGGTATCAAATATTTAGAACCCATTCCTGTTTCAAGTCATCTGATTGATAATCAGGCCAAACATGAGTTCTGTGCAAGTGGGGAAATACAACATCTTGGTTTATCATAGGGCCGAAAACTGGCTGTACACTACAGTAAAATTCAGCAGGCATGCAATAAACATTGATATAAAACATTTCAGCTGTTGAAATATGAAATTAAACAAATGAATAATGACATTATATCTTTTATTTTATTCAAAATATATATAAAAATGTATCGCATCATATTAGAACCACAATCACATTATATATTTGTCAGTGTTCTTGAAGTTCACAAGTTCAATATGACAGCAACTATAACAGAGAATTGCTAAGTAGAGAGGGATCTTTAGTCTTTTAACTCATTCACCCCTACATGTCTAAACTGGACTTGCCAAGTCATTGATTTGGTAAGGTTCATTGACCTTAGGTGCGAATGAGTTAATACTAAATGTCTGCATTAACAGAGCAAGAAACTGTATTTGATAGGAAATTGTTTCTAAGCATTGGAAGAAGGGGCTATACATAGGACAAATGAAGGATTGACAACACTACATATGATTGTCTTTGGGTTTGTTTGTGTTTTACGTCATATCAACAGCTATGGTCATTTAAGGACGTGGTGGAAGGAAGTCGGAGTTCCCGGAGAAAAACCCCCGACCTACGTACCTAGTGACTGTCCCATGTAGGTCTCGAACCCCCGACCCAGTGGTGGAGGGCTAGTGGTAGTAGAATGTCAGATGCCTGAATCACTTGGCCACCGTGGCCCCAATGTGATTATCCGAAAAAAACTTTGCTCAGATTAAAATTAAACAAGAAACTGGAGCTTGAATTGTTCGAAAACCTGAGTTTTATTATTAGAAATGGCCGTGAAAATTCAGACACTGAAGTTTTATCATGAGAAAACATGCTCTGATTATCCAAAAACATAAACAATGATGTTTGTGTGTGTCTGATCGTGACAGAATTATTTCAGATCTACTCTGTACATTTACACCATTAGAACTTATTTGCTTTTTCTTTATTTGCCTCTGAAAATATTAACAGACACGAAAACCTGACTACACCGTCATCAGAAATGATCAATTAATGGGCTATGATAGTGTGTCTGTAACATCAGGCATCATAACAAAATACACAATCTGGGTAATACTAAATACAGATTGGGAAAGCCCATTGAAACAATCATCTTCTGATTCTATTACATTTATGTCATATACTCATCCATACCCATAATTGACTCGCATCCATACACATAATCGACACACTTCATACAAATGATCAACTTTCATCCATACACATAATTGAAATGTACACACCCATACACATATTACTAACACACATGGGATGATTTAGAGACTCATCTACACATTGTTTACACTTACACAAAACTAACTGACATGTACACACATACGATTAAGAGACTCATCTATACATTGTTTACACTTACACAAAACTAAATGACATGTACACATATAAGATTAAGACTCATCTTCACATTGTTTACACTTACACAAAACTAAATGACATGTACACACATAAGATTAAGAGACTCATCTACACAGATCACACAAACATAATAGACATCCATCTGTTTACATGCTGCAGTCAGCCATATTCCTAGTTAGTCATCGTCCTTGGTAATCAGGTCTATTATGGAACCTCCTGTTTCTATTTTACTTTGGTTGTTAGCATACTGCCCTCTGAAATGGAAACAGATTTTCTGTAAAAATCCAAGACCCTGTATCATATATATGAGGCATCAAGTGTAATATTTTCATATACATTAACACATGATGGGGGAAAAAAGCGTTTCTAAATGTGTAACAGCTTTCATAAATATTATTTATATTTTGTTTTCACAGAACATATTTACATAACTATGTACAGGCTAATTGGTGCTCTATGAAAGTCATAAGAAGCCCAAATGGCCTGTATAGGTCATCTGAATAATTAAGCAACCATGGGGAAATTTCTCAAACATAATACTGCAACTTTTTCCAAAGATTGGCTCTGTCTCTCAGCAACACAATTCCATCTTTAGTCCCTTCTTTCTGCCCCATACAAAATTGAGCCCCCTTCGCCCATGGATGGTCTAGACCACATTTGGTTAAAATCCCTCCAATCATTAGGTTATGTTTTAAAACATTCAGTGTTTCTAAATAATTCAATAAATATCCGCCCTTCTTGCACAGATGTTAAGGTTATTCTACAATGTAGCTGGACAGAGCCTATCAAAATCACCTAAAATATTACATCTCATTTTTATATTGCTGCAAATTGATGATGGCATAAAGGGATCACTGTCGGTCTCAGAAGCTGATGTTGTCCGTTTATGTAACTGACATAAAATAAATATTCATGTATCTTGTAACTTTTTACACATACCTATACTATAGTATCAATTCCTCGGTGAAATTAGATTTTGTGAAAAAGTCCCATGGTTTCCGCAAGATTATCCTTGAAGAAATACTTTCAGGTCTATGATATATGTAATTATATAATTACTCACTCAAGTTTGATTTGGACCAAAACTAAAAATCAACATATGGCCACCAGTGTGGCAGGCAACAAATCTAATTCCTTGGAATTCTTTGGCATCAATAAAACCTATTTTTAACACTCTACACATTTTAGGATTAAGCAATGTTACCGAAAAATTGTAGACAGATCTAGAGGTGTCTTAAAAAGTACTTAAATGTGAAGTTGGGTGAAGATGAGGTTAGACAAAGAGGAGTTATGAAGTGGAAAATAGATCAGACAAATCAACCTTGAATGACAAGTTGGTGTCTTTCTCTTACCAGGTGCAACAGCTAATGAAGTATTGTGAAGAGGAGGATTAAAAAAGAAATTAAAAACAAATGAAATCAGCTCTTTTTGGAAAATATATTTATACATATTTATATGTGACCAAATGAACAGCTATTTTGCCACCAGTCTAGTGGTCACTTCCATCTAGCTATGAACACCTCTGGCCAGTAACTTCTGATCAACGTAAGATTTTGTTAGGAAACCTCACACCTGTGTGTATCGTGACTCGATGGCATGTCACGTAACACATTGGTCCATAACACTAACTTCTAATTGCCTTACTGTAATCCTCTCAAAAGATTTCTTCAAGAAGCATCACTGACATATGTATCATTACATGATGGCATCGCTGTGTCAAGCAACGATTAAGTCCTGTGGAGAGGACCTATAGAGGTCCTGTACTGGAAATTAACTCTATAAAGTAACTTTAAGTAACACTTGCAGATCTCTATACCCAAAGATCAAAGTGATGGTGAGGATGCAAAGGTCAAACCTTGCCCGGTCCATGATATCCGATTGCTTCACAAGCCGAAATTTTTTGTTGTGATTTGTATATCATAAGCAGTGGATGAAATGTTATATACTACTCTCTAAGGGCTCTTAATATACCTAAAAGGTCAAGATCATATGGTGAGGAGTCTAATGTCAAGCATTTTCTGGCCTATTTGTTTACTTCTGATTGCCTCAAGATTTTCTTACCAAAACTGATACTTATGTCCTTAACCCCAAGGTCAAGACAAAGGGTCATCGGTTGAGTAATGCTTGTCTGGATTTATCGCCTTGCTATGAAGCTATGATGTCTGATATGATATATTAACTAGATAGCAGATCCTAGAACACTTTCAGGTCAAAAGTCAAGATCATGATAATGGATTAAATGTTGAGTCATTAAGATTGCTTGTTCAAATAATAATACGAGGTTCTTATATACCGTAGTTCGTAGGTCGTCTCAATGCAGTTCACATATTGTGATCCTTGGTTCAGACCCTAATGTCTGATATCCTCTAGTTCTACAGAACATTAAGTGTGTCATAACACTGTTTTATACTTTATCAATGCAAGCTCATAGTTAAATTTATAGATCAAGTCAATGTCATGTTTTCTGATCAAAAAACTCTGATTAGGTTACAATTTCATTTCATATATTTGGTATCTAAATTTGAAGACAGTGTTTTGCTCCTGATGTCTGTTTAAGACAGTCCCATTAATTGTATGTATATGTATACATGTGTATGTATATATGTATCTGCTAAGGCTATATGTATATCAGGGTGTGGTGTAAATAAACTTACAAGTAACTCAAGATAGCAACACTCGTCAATCCAATGAATACTCTTTTTGATAAGTTGCTCTTACCTGTAAAATAAAATTGCAAACTGAACATGTAAAGTTAATTTCAGCTTCACAAGATTGTACTTACTAACAAATGTTGTTCACTTCAGTCTCTCAGTGTTGTACATACGATGTATAAAGTGAACTCACTTCAACTTTACATGGTTATTGTGTCATACGTGTAAGTTCACTTTAAGCCTCACATTGTTGTACAGTACATTCAAACAAATGCTATAGCCTTACAAAGCTGTTTGGTACAGGAATTAAGTACCACTAAAGGAATGTTTAACTAGCTACTGCTATATAATAAATAAATAAATATATACAGTGTATTAAGGGTAATTACTTGTGAAGATGTAGCAAAGTGCTGCAGGAAAGGAGGCATATGTCACACTTTTTAAAAGAGACTTGCTGCAATAAGTTCTGAATTCTTTGAGGGTAAATCTTTTCCCAACTTGTCTTTTCTGAAAGAAAAAATAAACAATAATAAATGAAAGAAATGAAAATTCAAATAAATAAAAGACATACCCTTGTCATTTGCTCAAATGCTTTTAGAACAAATATATTCATTATGGCCTAATAGGCAGCTATAATTAATTAAGATTCTGGTTACTGACCAAGAGGTAAATTATCATTGATATGTTCACAATCAGTATTAGTTAATGTCATTTGATCCACATGATATATCATCTTAATGTCATAGTAGAGATTCAGCGGTTTCCATAATTCAATATAATGTATTCCTGGATGTGCCTGTGTCTCTATTTTTATTATGTATTTGGTATGTATGGTCATGCACCAGTACAAGTTTACGTATACATCTTACTAAGCTCTAGATCTGTTACCTCACAAAGTTTTGTGAAGATGAGAGTAGGAGTAATAAATAAATATTAATTTACAGCATTTGATAAAGCGCCCTATAGCTATCTAGCTAACATAATTATTTATTTTAGCCACTCTAAAGCGCTTAACAGTACATAGAGATACAATTAATACAATTGGCATATAAAATACCATTAATCAATTCAATGTTGAGGAATTTGCAGGAGCTGCCTTATCATGCGCTAACTACTAGTCCTATGCCACCTGGCTAATATCTCCCTATGTGTATATGCCTGCATGTGTGCTGGAGATGCTTCCAACGGCATCATTTATAGTGCCACCTCACTTGAATGCTACAGCACAGATACCCAGCATCCACTCCAGACCAATTTATACTCCACCTGGGTTGTTGGAGTTGTGTGGGCAGGAGAAAAACACTTTCTCTGAATATCAATGTGTAAGACGACTTCGGCGATTGAATTGCGGACCCCTGCGTGGAAGGGCGGAGTGTTAACCACTCGACCAATCCGCCCATAGGAATAGTGAATGAAATTGAATATTTAACCTCTACAGCATTTTCATGTATAACCCTTACCATCCTGATAGCATCTATATCAGCTATAAATGTCATATACCAATGTGCTGACATCATTATGATATATAATTATAAATATAAACATAATTGTAAACGTTGACCACTGATTCTCCCTTGAACAGCTGTTGAATTAGCCAAAGTTTCCTCTGGCTCTGACACCAGATTTAGAAATTTTGACAGATTGATGTCTGGTGTGGACATCAGACATCCATCTGTCAAAATGTCTATGTCTGGTGTCAGGGCTAGAGGAATTTCGGGCTATTGTTGAATATGGCTGCTATATTCTAGTTTCGAGATGAGAATACTGCTCTCCGAGTTGTTAAGTTATTATGTGTCAAAGTTTTCCATACAATAACTTAACACATATGACTGGATTCTGATAAAACTATAGCTACTGACCTTGATTTCATCCACAAAATCGTCTGAATTAGGCCTAGATGTCATCGGGCCGGCTGCTGTCATCTTCTTACGATCGCCTGGACAAGAGTCAAAATTGTTAGAACTGGTTTTCTTTTCTAGCAAGACCTAGGGGCCTGTTCGTTTATGCGGAATAACCGGTTTGACCGTTTATAAATGTAATTAAATCCTAGCGGACATCCAAATGTATAGGCAGGCCTTGCAAGGCTCGCCTGAAAGCAGCATCTGATTACTAGGTCCGACCTTATTTAATAAACGAACAACCGGTTTGACCGTTCACACGAAAACGGCCTTATAAATGTATACAAGGATTCTCTAGTAGGGGCTACCTGATTGGTTAATGTTTTAGACGGTGTCATTAGGCCTAGATGAACGAAATATTGCTATTATGACGGAATTCTGCCAAAAGATTAAATATTGATCCATTGAGCAGTGATTTTATTTATGTCTGATCGGTTTCACGATGAATAAGATTAAAATGTATCTGTGATCAGTGGCGAACGCTGTTAAGCAAATCTATAATCTAGGTCTTGTGAATGCTTTTATTCAACAAAGACGTGTATCAAGCATGCATTTCACAAAGTATTTAAAGGATATTCTAACACTAAAAAAAGAATAACGGCTAAGGCGTCCGTTCTCTTCTTTTTCACTAAGGGCCCATGCCATGGAGTTATATACATGTATTCATTTTTTATTTTAACTAGATACCTAATACGTCCTAATTTTGAATATTAGTTTGGATATCACTGTAACGGATCCGGAAAAATAGCTACCTTTGATTAGTTTGTTAAGGTTTGAAGGTCTAAGGGACGCATTTTGTTGTAACCCATGTGACACCCGTGATCATATCTCCAATCAAATGAGGAAAGCACATGTATATGACTTAAGCAATTAAGGAATCACTTGCAGGTTATAACGACAGACTTACGAATTACCCTTCAGGTTATAAACAACATTTTTGCATATGATATCACGCATAACATCTGCCCAAATTATGTAAAATAAATCTTTTCTGAAAATGTTCATGTAAGTAATTAAAGATAAATTAAGTAAAATAACACCACGACGAATGAATAAGAATCTGCGTTTTGGATTAAGATTGAATTATATATAAATAACGACTTCAGCATTTACATATTTGTCTCACTTTGTCAGAGAAAGATTATTGGGTCTGGATTAATTTGTGTACATGTACGCTATAAAAGGGCGTTAATATAGATATGCACTGTGTTACCATTGACATTTTAAGGGAAATGTTTATTTGTAACAACTGGATGGCACACAGGAAAAAACAAATTTGTACGTTTCCAATCGAGATTTTTCGATTAGTGAAAAACACGAAACAGTTGAGAACAATTTATGACGATTCATGTTAGAACCAATGGATAAGAAATCGTAATGAACAAATTCAATAGAAACTATATGTAGCTTAAAGTAAGTAGTTACTCAGTGTAACTAATATAAGGACGACACCATTAACATACACAAATAACCTCTGTTATGCGGGACAATACCATTAACGTGCATACATATCCTCAATAACTACCATATGTGGACAATACCATTAACATGTATGCATAACCTCTATAACTATATGTGGACAATACCATTATGTACATAAATAACCTCTGTAGCTATATGTGGACAATATCATTAACATACATAAATAACCATTGTAGCAATATGTGGACAATACCATTAACGTACATAAATAACCTCTGTAGAAATATGTGGACATCACCATTAACGAACATAAATAACCTCTGTAGAAATATGTGGACAATACCATTAACATACATAAATAACCTCTATACAATTAACGTGCATAAATAACCTCTGTAGCTATATGTGGACAATACCATTAACATACATAAATAATCTCTGTAGCTATATGTGGACATTGCCATTACGTACATAAATAACCTCTGTTATTGGGGACAATACCATTGACGTGCATAAATAACCTCTCTAACTATAAGTGGACAATACCATTAACGAACATAAATAACCTCTGTAGCTATATGTGGACAATACCATTATGTACATAAACAACCTGTATAGCTAGGAACAATACCTTTAACGTGTGTTGTGGAATACACAATGTGTCACACGTGTGCTACGTGTGGAAGTGTGCTGTTGACACACACAATGTGTCACACGTGTTATACGTGTGGAAGTGTGCTGTTGACACATACAATGTGTCACACGTGTGGAAGTGTGCTGTTGACACATACAATGTTCAATCACTCATGGCAACGCGTTGTAACTTGAATCGTGAATAGAAGGCTAAAAATAACCAAGGAGAGTTGTTGACATTGACAAAATATTTGTTTCATGTGGTTGACTTAGGTTCTGTACAAACACCTAATAGATTATCCACAGGTACTTGACGTGCTAGAAATAATGGACCTAACATCAGTTGAAATAAGAAAAGATTTGACTTTAAAATTTGATCTTATCTTTTTAACTGCTTTTTTATTTCTAGGTCTATTACTAGAATGACAAATATAATATGTTTAATTATGCACATTATGCACACACAGGTCACATTCGTTGCATTAAAAGCAAAATCGTTTCAGCTTACTTTACAAAAAACCGATTAGGGCTATGGAAATTAAGTGGAGGGGTGGGCAGAGTTGTGTGTGCTAACGAAGTCTACATATATATTTCTACTATAATTTCCACAGCTCATTAATGCATCGTTATCAATTATGATCAACTCCCACTGAAGACAGTGTGCATGTATATAACTTTTTTTCAACTTAATTCTTTTAAAATTATATGATTAGTTATTGCTTGATGTCTTCCGAATCAAGTGCTGAAAAATTTGAATTTAATGACTTAGAGATAATACATTAAAAAACAATTTTGATGAGAATTATCTTCTAAAGTGGTTTAAAATCAAATCACATTGACATAGAATCATTGACACGAGTTTTATTCAGTGGTGTATATTAACCATATACACAAGCATATATACATTAACTGTGGGTGCTATCGGTATACCTACAACTCTATTATTTGTTTGTGTTTACCCATAACTCCGTATTATCTGTTCGTGTAGATATTATGCCTACAGGTCTGTATATTCTGAAAAAGTTTTTCAATATGCATACTTTTTATCATTTTATCAATGTTAATTTCATTATACGTGTGTATGTAAACGTGCAGTCTTCATGTTTGTGAATGTTTTTCATAATTGCATTCTCCTGAAGAAACGTTCAATTTTTTAACAGAATATAACTTTTCCTATAAATTCACAATCAAAATTAAAAGACTGATGCCGTTGTGCTAGTATCTGTCGCAGGCGTATTTATGAGAGAGGCCGTTTCAACATACTTTGATCATGAAAGATTTTTTCAATATTCTTATATTCTTTATCTCTTCAGTTCCTTATAAAACAACAGTAAGAGAATGCCCAGGTGTCAACAAAACCGTTATTTGAACTTAAAATTGATAAAATTAGAGCCAAATAAGGACAAAGGTAAGAATGACATGGAGACCCTTCAGGAGATGTCCTAGATCTTGTATTGTTTACCGTACTCTGGGAGTATATGTCCTAGATCTTGTACTGTTTAACGTACTCTGGGAGTAGATGTCCTAGATCTTGTACTGTTTAACGTACTCTGGGAGTAGATGTCCTAGATCTTGTACTGTTTAACGTACTCTGGGAGTAGATGTCCTAGATCTTGTACTGTTTAACGTACTCTGGGAGTAGATGTCCTAGATCTTGTACTGTTTAACGTACTCTGGGAGTAGATGTCCTAGATCTTGTACTGTTTAACGTACTCTGGGAGTAGATGTCCTAGATCTTGTACTGTTTAACGTACTCTGGGAGTAGATGTCCTAGATCTTGTACTGTTTAACGTACTCTGGGAGTAGATGTCCTAGATCTTGTACTGTTTAACGTACTCTGGGAGTAGATGTCCTAGATCTTGTACTGTTTAACGTACTCTGGGAGTAGATGTCCTAGATCTTGTACTGTTTAACGTACTCTGGGAGTAGATGTCCTAGATCTTGTACTGTTTAACGTACTCTGGGAGTAGATGTCCTAGATCTTGTACTGTTTAACGTACTCTGGGAGTAGATGTCCTAGATCTTGTACTGTTTAACGTACTCTGGGAGTAGATGTCCTAGATCTTGTACTGTTTAACGTACTCTGGGAGTAGATGTCCTAGATCTTGTACTGTTTAACGTACTCTGGGAGTAGATGTCCTAGATCTTGTACTGTTTAACGTACTCTGGGAGTAGATGTCCTAGATCTTGTACTGTTTAACGTACTCTGGGAGTAGATGTCCTAGATCTTGTACTGTTTAACGTACTCTGGGAGTAGATGTCCTAGATCTTGTACTGTTTAACGTACTCTGGGAGTAGATGTCCTAGATCTTGTACTGTTTAACGTACTCTGGGAGTAGATGTCCTAGATCTTGTACTGTTTAACGTACTCTGGGAGTAGATGTCCTAGATCTTGTACTGTTTAACGTACTCTGGGAGTAGATGTCCTAGATCTTGTACTGTTTAACGTACTCTGGGAGTAGATGTCCTAGATCTTGTACTGTTTAACGTACTCTGGGAGTAGATGTCCTAGATCTTGTACTGTTTAACGTACTCTGGGAGTAGATGTCCTAGATCTTGTACTGTTTAACGTACTCTGGGAGTAGATGTCCTAGATCTTGTACTGTTTAACGTACTCTGGGAGTAGATGTCCTAGATCTTGTACTGTTTAACGTACTCTGGGAGTAGATGTCCTAGATCTTGTACTGTTTAACGTACTCTGGGAGTAGATGTCCTAGATCTTGTACTGTTTAACGTACTCTGGGAGTAGATGTCCTAGATCTTGTACTGTTTAACGTACTCTGGGAGTAGATGTCCTAGATCTTGTACTGTTTAACGTACTCTGGGAGTAGATGTCCTAGATCTTGTACTGTTTAACGTACTCTGGGAGTAGATGTCCTAGATCTTGTACTGTTTAACGTACTCTGGGAGTAGATGTCCTAGATCTTGTACTGTTTAACGTACTCTGGGAGTAGATGTCCTAGATCTTGTACTGTTTAACGTACTCTGGGAGTAGATGTCCTAGATCTTGTACTGTTTAACGTACTCTGGGAGTAGATGTCCTAGATCTTGTACTGTTTAACGTACTCTGGGAGTAGATGTCCTAGATCTTGTACTGTTTAACGTACTCTGGGAGTAGATGTCCTAGATCTTGTACTGTTTAACGTACTCTGGGAGTAGATGTCCTAGATCTTGTACTGTTTAACGTACTCTGGGAGTAGATGTCCTAGATCTT